GTCACACCAGAATGCGACCCCTCCCTGTTCCACGGCTCTCCCATTCCTCTGCAATCACCGCCTCTGATGCTGCACCCAATCTGGCCTCAGAGAAAGAACTGATCATATGGCAGATGGAGCTATGCAAGAAAAAAAACTGACAGCTGTTTTGATGGGAAATCAGGCCTGAAGGTCTGTGAATATGGAACTAACCAACCCTGGGGAATTCGTCTGTCATTCAGCAAGAGTTCAGTGCGGAATTGGAACTAACCCTCTAATTGTCAAAGTCTATCAACTAGTTCTTAATTAAAGGGAAATGTCTTTGGAAGCACGTCTTCAGATAGGCATGGAAACCCAGCCAAATATATATGCAGTCAGCATCACTGCTGCTTGGCCAAGGAAATTCCCAGGGGAGCTGGGCTCCAAATGAACTGTAACTTGCTATTCCTTAATTTGTTATCATAAAACTAAAAAACACATTGTACTGTTTGGGACAGCACTTTACATGCAAATCATGGAGGAAATTAGATGCTGCTCGGTTTTGACATCTCAGGTGTGGAAACTGAAGTACAGAGAAGCTAAATGATTGGGCCAAGGTAACAAACGGCCAGTCAGAGACCTAGGAAACAAAACCAAGACACCTGACTCCCAGGCCTGCGTGCCGACCCCGAACCACGAGTTACATGCCGATCAGAAGAGTCACTGCCCTGTAATTTGGAAGCACTGCAAGAAGGATTCACATTTTCTAGTATTGATCTATATTTGCAGATTTGAAAAATCCATACAAATAAATGTACAGTGAAACTCATGGACTTAGATGCCATGGAGCTTAGATGCCAAGAAAGAAAGGTGCCTTAGAAATACCATTGGGACAGATAGGGCCTGATGCAAAGGCCACTGAAATCAACGAAAAGACTCCCACTGATTTCTGTGGGCTGTGGATCAGGCAATGAAGAGATGTGGTCTTGAGAAAGCAGAAGCTGGGAGCGCTGGAGGAGCACTGTTATGATTATTGGACTTTAAAATTCACCCCAATTATAAGCTTAAATGTAAAAAATATGTGCAAGTTCATAAGATGTCCCAATAATGTAAAACTTTTTGCTTGTTTGGAAATCAGCCATGGAAGATATGGTCAGGCTGTTTTTAATAAATGGATATTATGAACAAGTGCAAGAGACAGACAGAGAAGCTGGATTAGTGCAAACAAAAAGGGCCTGCTAATATCGTTCAAGAACTGTTGAAATCATGCTTGATAAAAGCAGAAGATGTGGAACCAGAAGTTAATGGACCAAAATTGGCACGATGGGCAACATACTGAGGGGCTGAGCTATGCTGTCCACTTTTTCCTTTTCTGGTTTTCTTAAAAAGAGACTTTGAAAAAAAACACTTTTTCATCTCCCATCTCACGCCCCAGCTGGCATCTCCGCTCATCTTGTCTCATTTTCTCTGACCCCAGGACAGAAGGAACAGACCAGACTGAAAGGCTTTCTTCCTCCGACAGGGAGGTCATTAAGCCTTGCTCTTGTTCAAAGAACTTTGTTTTTCGTTCATAAGTTCTGAAAATCATCCCATCATCATGACATCCTGTCCTCAGCCCATCAGCAGGGATACCTAATGGCCAGCACTGCAGAGTCATGTAAGATCCAGTTCTGTTCCCTTGCTTTTGGGCTGCTTTTCATGCTCTTCCCTTCTTCCTGTTCTGTCTCTCATTCTCTCGGCTTTCCATCCAATCCTGAAATCAGCTGCATTGCATCAGCACAGTAAAATGAGATGACCATAATCTTGCCCTGTTTAAGGAGAAAAAAACCCCAACGGGATGACATCCCTGGCCTGAAGGGGAACCAGGGACCAAGCAACAGGTGCTGTGGTTGATCTGCCAGCCAAAGCTTCCATTCGTAACTGACCTGCCATCCAGTGTTCCAAAGACACCAACAAAAGCTGTATTTCCCCCACATTTTCGATCCTACCTCTCCTTCACCTTTTGTGTGAGTGTCTCTGTTAGAAACAGGAGAAATAAATACCTTTCACCCATCAGGACTGAATCTAAAACTAACCCACTTTCCTTTTCATCAAATGAAGGTTGTTCTGAAAATAAAAGATGCTGATATTTTGCCTCCAAAAGGAGAAACACCTGACAAAACAAACAATCATTCAATATCAGTTTTATTATAAATGCTTGTTTTAATTTCTTGTTCTTTTTTGTGTTTGATCCATAAATTTTCAACTTCACAATGAATGCTTTTGGATGTTTGCCAAAGAACTGAGAAAAACCAAAGCCTTTGTAGAAAGCCCCACCCCTCACACCTAAGTATCACTGTTGTAATGTTGGACAGTGAAAGAGTTTAGAAACACCTTTAACTCGTTTGGCCCTTGAGATTAGTACAACACACAGTGTCACGGCTACACGGCTAGCTGCATCTCTGTCCTCTCACTGGTCTCTGAGTGCACCCCCACAGGTATCAGGCATTGGGACTTTACCTCTCCTGGGCTGGAATCATGTGATTCTCGCAGTCTCAGACCAGGCCCTGTGCTATGAGACCCTGTGGATCAGCCATTCTTAGTCAGCAAACCCAGCTGGGTTTTGCATCTGTAGTTCTTCTCCTAGGGAGTCTGTGACCAGTGGTGAATCTGGTGACCGGTCAGCCTGCTTACACCACCGTATTGTTTACTCTTAACAGTAGGAACAAAGCATAACATAAGAGAAGACAGGTTTTAAAATAGCAAAAGATCTACGTGCATGTCTGTCTTACCTAATGGCTTTCCATCCTCCGGCCAGAAGCCTAGCAAGGCCTGACTTCTTCAGACACCCCATCTGTGTGGGTCAGTCTGGTGCCCTGAACAGCTCCCCCCACCCTATGGCGTGAGTCTCTTCTTATCCAGCCCGAAGTCCTTCCACTGTCAATTGCGTGGGCTGAGCTCCTGCTGCCCAAAGCCAGCTTGGTGAGTTCCATGGGAGCTCGAGCCAGCCTTCTCCAGGCCAATTGCTTCCCCATCATCTTGCATCACACCCCTCAGTGTTTGCTGCGGGGGGATGGCTCATCTCGAGTCTTTGTTTTGCCTTCCTGTTTGCTTCCCACGAGTCCTATTGATTTAACCCAATACAGTCATCCAGGTACCATCCCATTCAACAATCCGACAGTCATATAGCACATAGAGCATTCATAAATTACAGAGCAGCCCCACTTCCATCCCGCACAGCACTTACAGTGCAGAGCTACAGGAACACTGGCTTTCCCCTGCGTCCTCCAGCCCCCTTCTCCACTGAGTCATTTGGCTCCTGCTGGGTGCTGGGATCCCCACTTCTTGAGTCCAGCATGAGGCTTAAGATCTGAGATACTGCTGTTCTTCAAGAAGCAGCTGAAACTTTTAATTTCTAGTCTTCCACTGCCAATGCTTGGTTATCGATTCTTCTTTGGTCTTCGTTAGCAGTTATTGCGTTGTTTAGTTTGTTTTATAGCTATTAAATGAAGAGCCTGAGAACTGATAACTGTGTGTAGCTAGGCAACTGAAAAGAGATGTTATCTTTCTGGCTTCTGTGCACTGCACCTGGCACAGTAGAGGAGTCTACCTGCTGCAGGGACAGCTGTGAGGCAGCTGGCATTTGTGGTTCAGGTCAGGTGCAGAATGTCACACAGGGAGTTGCTGTGATGTCTCCATCTTTCAATTGTATAACAACTTTATGTTTGTTCTTTCTTTGTTGTTTTCCTTAATTTGAAATAAGAGTCATGGTGACAGGAATATATGGGGTCTCTTATGTGTGGGAGACATAACACAAGCACAGCTTTATAGAGGGCCCAGAAAAGGTGCTTTAGGAGAGGATACTCTCAGGAGGCCTTCCCCTATGGTGGCTGTGCATTTCCCAACACACAGAGGGAGACTCATTTGGCTGAAGGCCATTCTTCTGCAGCTATAGGCGCCGACTCCATGGGTGCTCCAGGGCTGAAGCACCCAGGGGAAAAAAATGGTGGGTGCTGAGCACCCACCAGCAGCCCCCCTATCAGCTCCCCCCTTCCTCCCCGTGTTCACTGCCTGCCGGCAGCCCGCTGATCAGCACCTCCCCCTCCCTTCCTTGCGCCTCCCACCCACCGCGATCAGCTGATTTGTGGCATGCAGGAGACTTTGGGAGGGAGGAGCGAGGGCGCGGTGTGCTGGGGGGAGGAAGCGGAAAAGGGCGGGAAGAGATGGGCAGAGGTGGGGCGGAGGGCGGGCATTGGGAGAAAGGGTGAAGTGGGAGCAGGGCCTGGGGCAGAGCCAGGGGTCGAGCACCCCCCGGCACATTGGAAAGTTGGTGCCTATGTTCTTGAAGGCTAAGACACCTCCACAGTGGATAGATGCTGAGCCTGAGCCCTTTGTGCAGGAGTCTAAAGAGGTGAATCGAATACAAGCCGGCCTTATCAGGATGGACTCAGGGAGCTCAATCTGTTTAGCTAAACAAAAAGAAGGTTAAGGGGTGACTTGATCACAGTCCATAAGGACCTACATGGGGCACAAAAATGTGATAATAAAGGGCTCTTCTCAGTCTAGCAGACGGAGGTATAACAAGAGCCAATGTCTGGAAGTTGAAGCTAGACAAATTTAGACTAGAAATAAAGAGTCCATGTTTAACGGTGACCATACCTAACCACTGGAACAACTCACCAGGGCGTGTGACGAATTCTCCATCATGGGCCATTTTAAAAACAAGATGGGATGTTTTTCTAAAAGAGCTGCTCTAGTTGAAACGAATTAATTCAGGGAAATTCTCTGGCCTGTGTGATACAGGAGGTCAGACTAGATGATCACAATGGTCCCTTCTGGCTGCCTAATCTATGCATCTGTGTGTGAGAAAAATCATTGAAACTACAAGTAATCAATTCGATCATTTGGCCCTCGGGCTGGACAGCACGCAATATCCCAGTGCTATTTCAGTGAAAAAGTGTTCCAGCGTCACTGCACTGACATAATTAGGTTGACATAAGCTGCCTTACGTTGACCTGTGTAGTGTAGACCAGCCCTAAGTGGTTTTGTTTGTGTCTCTGCAGGATGGATGACATTCAGCTTTGCAAAGAAATCAGTCGGCTGAAGAAGGAGCTCCAGAAACTCATCGCACTCCCAGGTAAGGCCCAGATACTTTGGAAAGCTTCTGCGGCTTGATCCCAAAGCCCTTGAAATCGATGGGAGTGCTTTTGATCAGGCCCTTTATTCCTGGATGTGCTCCTACTAGGTAACAGGCAGGACTCCAAAGGTTCAGGCGATCAAGTCAGATGAGTAACCAGACATTTGGATCCAACTCTGAACCTCTCGAGTCTGCAAAGTTGGCCTGGGGCTCTTTCACAAAAGCAGCCCTTCTTGCAGTGTTGCTGGGACTTTCTTTTCCTGGCTAGGCTGGAATTGTCCCCAGATCATCTCTTTCTGTGGCTCTTTGCCTCTTCCACTGCTTGTCCTGGTCCAAACAAGGAAATTTCGAGAAACAAGAAAAGGAAAAGAAATAAGGAAATAAAAATTGTTACCCAAATCTTTTTGTAAGCCACTGGTGAGGGTGTGTTACAGGATTCTCTTCTGTGCCTGATCCGCAGACGACAGATGAGTCTGTTACAGGCCCAGCTACCCTCCCACATTGTGCAGTTCACACCAACCACTCCAAATGGCACCCTAGGAGCGGAAGGAGGAGAATTCGTGGAATCCCTTGGTAGAGGGCCCCTTTGGAAGTTTTCTATTGGTGGTGGGAGGGGAGGGAGGCCTTTAAAAGCAGGGCCAAGCATCTAGAGTCATCAGATGTTGGTGTTGCTGGGGAAAACTTTCCTCTTTGTGTGTTACCACAAAACACAGCAGAAATTTAACACCAGCCTTTTGACAGCGAGGGGATGGGGCAGGTGGCAGGCTGGCCTCAAGTTCATAGGAAATGCTGCAAGCCCTGGTGGAGGAAGCCTGCCAGAAATCACAGGGGGCTAGAGACAGTGAGCAGCTTGGCACATGTGAGGAGCTTCACACACCCTTCTGTCTTGGGGAGGGCTGTGCATTTCAACACCTAAAACCTCTGTTTTAGGTGTTGAAACCAAGTTCAGAGAGGCGGAGATAACAGAACCACCAGAGCCCCACCTTGTGGCAGGTATGTCCTGGGAATCTAGTTAGTCTCTTTGTAAATAAGGGTTACGTCTAACAGATTCATATTCATAACTTGACAATTTCAGAAAAGCATCTCACTGGGTAACTGGAGTAAGTGCGTCCGCTGAAAGGAGAGGGCTTTATATTCATTTACAATAAGGCCTGTTTACACTGGCAGAGTGCAGTACCGGCCCCTAACGTGCATGAGGATCCAGTCCAGACAGTGTGGCGAGATCCCCAATACGGACGTACCCAACATTCAGGTGCCCTTTGGAGAAGAGAAAAACCAGCCAATCAGAAAATCAAAACTTCCTCAGAAAGAAAATTCTGCCCTTTGCTCCCTATATCATGCAGCACATTAAAATGGTGTCATCTCCCTGTCCCCATAACGCTGCCAAGTTGCGCGCCACCTCTTCCTTCGCCCCTTCTCTCACTCTGGTCTTCAAGCTTTCTGCCCTGCCGTCTGGAACTCCTTATCCAACCCCTGGATGCCCAGATTTCCCCCTTTCAAATCCTTCCTCAAAATTTTGACCTCTGGCAGATGTGCTATCCTTCCACAGAGGGAAAGAGCACTGGGGGAGAAACAAAGCAAGACAAAGCCACACCCCACTCTCTAAAGGGCGTCTCCAAAGCCCATTGAAGTAAATGGGAATTAGGTCCAAAGGCAGGACCTTCCCCTGCATCTCCCAGTATGTTGTGTGTGTTGTCCATCTCTTTAGACTGAATCCAATTTGGACAGCAGCCAGATCTTCTAGGCTACAAACAGCAGCAGTGCACTGTGAGTGCTTAAATCATAATGAGTAAGAATAACTTCATCGCAGAGCTGGTCACGTCACTGTCATTAAGGAAATGGCTCTGGCCAGGAGTTCCTAATTCAGGTCCCAATTAAGGAAACCACTTCATCATATGCTTTCCTGGATGGGAATGGGCCTAATACATGCTGAAGTGTTTCCCTGTATTGGGGCCGCAACCAGTAGGGTCTGGGCTTAAGTTTGTTCCAGCCACAAGTCTCACTCTGCAGATCTGACAGGTCCTAGGAGCTGCAGTGGAGCATTAGAGAGTGCTGTGATGTTTGGATCCCTGAAGCAGGAAGGGTCTGAACATTCGTCTCCTAGAACAGCATCTCAGCTCATTTACAAGACTCTGTTTGTTCTCTGCCTGGAGGGCAGCTTGAGATCAAGGATGACTTGAAACCGGAGTCTTTCTAGTTCCCTATCGCTGCTGCTCCAGGTGTGGCTATAAACCAGGAACATGCAGATTGATTTGGGTTAGAAGTGGGCTCAATCCAGAAAATGTAGCTCCCGATTCAGATTTTGAACCTGATCCTGTAACTGAGAGATGTTCAGACTGGGGTTGGGGGATATTTGCAAAATTTGGATCCAGCGAGTCAACTCAGGACGTGCTGCAAATCTCATGAGAAACACTGAACTTGTGAGACTCCCAGTAGAGCTTCAAAAGACAAATCCAGCAGAGGTTAGGTTCAGATAAGAACCCCAAACATATGGGTGCTTGCCCAGGGCTTAGCCAAACCTCTCTAGTCTAGAAAGCTCACATGGCCAGGATATCTTTGACATACAAAGGCATATCAAGGTCGAGATGGAAGCTGAAGCCATCAAAGTTCAAACTACAAACAAGAAGCATATTTTAAAAAGTGAATATGCCTCACTAGAGCTTTTAACTCAAGTTAATTGACTGTCAATTAACTCAGATTACCTAACATGTTTGGACGTCTATCTACGGTACTAATATGGCCCCCGTTACTGGAGTATCTGAGCATCTTACAAACTCGAATCATTTATACGCACAATGCCCCTGTGAAGTAGGGCAGTGCTATTAACTCCATTGTACAGCTGGGGAACTAAGGCACAAAGACTAAGTGACTTGCCCAAGGTCACACAAAAAGTCTGTGGTGGAGCAGAGAGTTGACTGGAGACCTCCCAACACCCAGGCTAGTGCCCTACACACTGGACAACCCTTTCTCTGTAGAGACATGCTAATTTGGAAACCCCACATATGTTTCCTCCAGGACACACATGTTTGTGGTTTACCCTTTGAACTGAAGTAGGATGTAAGAGAGGCCTGTGCTGATGGGTAAATTTCACCTGAGAAGTAGGACAAACTTCTGTGCTCTACAGAGGCTGCTAATACTGTAGAATAATGATGACAATTCCTCCCATTCAGCCCCTAGCAGCGGCGTCTCAGGTCGATATATAGAAGGCTTTAAACTGCAAGTGAATACCCAGTTTAGGCGCCGCTGGGATCCAGCCTACAGGTTTGCTGCAATCGCAGACTGCACTTTGTATTTACTTAGCTGGAGGAGGACTGCCAATGGAAAGCTATGTGGTACTGGATTGTGTTTGGAAGTGGTTGCCTGAACTCTGGGGCGGTCTTAAAAAACACAGCTGCATACAGCCAATCTCAGTCTTTCAGTAATTTATCTTTAATGTTGCATAAATCATCTCCACATTTCTGTGTATTTACCAATGTTTTATATACATGGGACTTGAAGGTTGCCCAGATTTTGTGCACAGTGGAAAGGGACGCAGGCGGTTATCCAGGGTGCTGAAGGTCAGGCCACCCTTTGGGATTTCAGTGAGGATTTTAGCTAAGACTTTCAAAACTGCCTGGGAGATGGACATACCCAATCCCTGTTCATTCTAATGGGAGAGGGGGCATCCAGATCCCTTTAGCACCATTGAAAATCAGGGATCACTGAGAGAGATTCGATGTCCTGCGTTATGCAGGGGACCAGACTAATTATAATGGATCATTCTGGCCTTAATATCTTTGAATCTATGGATTTTCACTGAAAGTCAATGGGACTTGTGCAGCATGGGAGGCAGCTCAGGCTGTACAAACGCTGCTGCAGCTTCACTGCTATTGTTAGTCAAGCTTAGGGTGACCAGATAGCAAGTGTGAAAAATCAGGACTGGGGTGGGGGGTAATAGGCGCCTATATAAGAAAAAGCCCCAAATATCGGGACTGTCCCTATAAAATTGGGACATCTGGTCACCCTAGTCAAGCTAGCTAGATCAAAGCCAGCTTGGGTGTCCACATCATGTGTTGCAGTCACACCTCTGACTGCAGGGCAGACATATCCTAAGAAGCCAACCCTGTCTGCAGCACAGATGGAATCGCAGGTTTCTATATTTCGGTGCATTAGAACAAACAGTGGTTTGTGTTTTCCCTGCTGCAGAGAAAGAGAAGTCCAACGAGGAGAAGCAGAGGGAGGAGGAGCTGGTGCAGCAGATACACAAGCTGGTGGAAACCCGGGATTTCCTGGTGGACGACGTGGAATTTGAAAGACTGAGGTAGCTGGATGAGCCAACTCGAGTGTGTCTGAAACTTGCAGGGGTTGGCAGAGCTCCAGCATGTCAGACTCCCGGCTTCTGCACTGGGGGGCAGGAAATGCACAGAACAGCTCAGAGGCTAGGGAGCTGTGCAGGGTCGGATTAATGCAGCCCAGGACACTAGACACATCATAACACTGCCCCCTAGGGGACTACTTGCACAGCCCCGCCTCTGCACACTGTGGCTCCACCCCCCACATGGAGTGGCTGTCAAGGGCACACCTCCCAGAGAGGTAGGGATAGTGGCATACCCTTATCTTTCCCCAGAGCAGCAGGGGGGGAGTAAACCGGCTCCCCAGGACTCACTCCATCAGCCAGGTGTATCTGTTTGGGTGGGCCAGCCCCACCGCACTCTTCTCCTCTTGCCATGCGCTGAGCCTTCTATTGGCAAGGTGTTGGCAGGGGATCCCCAGAGCGGTGGGTCCTGGAGTTAATACCCCATTGAGCTGATATGGGGCAGTTCATGCCTCTCAGAGCTATTGTTTCAAGATGTCTGCAGACTCAGGCAGACAATGCAGCATCAATTACACTCGGGTCACATTTTTGAGCTTTTCTTCAGACTCTTTATTAAAATGAAAGCTGAGATTCTGATGTAATCGCAGGACTAGGAACTGGGACCACGGGTATACGGTCTGCAGTGCTTATGCCATAAGCCAGACCTGGAGGTGTAGAATGGGGCAGAAGCAGGGGAAAGGCAACATGCACTGGTGGTGATAGAAGGAACATAAGAACGGCCATACTGGGTGAGACCAAAGGTCCATCTAGGCCAGTATCCTGTCTTCCAACAGTGGCCAATGCCAGGTGCTTCAGAGGGAATGAACAGAACAGGTAATCATCGAGTGAGCCATCCCCTGTCACCCATTCCCAACTTCTGGCAAACAGGCTGAGAAGTATGTGGTTTTAAGCAAAGGGCAGCTGCTAGCTATGGAAGTTGAGCAGGGGGTTGGACTAGATGACCACCTGAGGTCTCTTCCAAACCTGATCTTCTATGATTCTATGGTTCGATGACATGCCGAGTCTGTGCAAGAAGACGTCCTGAAGTGCAAGTCAGGTCTGTCTGCACTAGGGGTCATGCTGCAGCAGGCAGGAAGCAAGGTCAGTCAGGCCCAGTCAGCCGCTGCAGAATGAAACCATTCAGGCCTATTCAAAGCTGAGGCAGCATGTGCCTCTGGCTTTCCCCTCCCCGGCGAGCACAGCACCCCTCAAGCCTTCGGTTAGGACTCAAGCAGAATGTAATACATTTTTTGGAACACATCTCTGCTTGCAGACACCAGTCACTTTAGCTCTGCTGTCGCATGGGTGTTATGCTGGGGGCCTGGGGTGTTCGTGTTCAACATGCCATCTAGACAGCACATTGCAGCCCCTTGCTTGCACTCTGCTGAGCCGTGCTCTGCCACCTGTTGGGCAAACTGAGATTTCTCTTTAATTCTGCCACCTGCTATGCATGCCTCAGGGCTTGGGGGACTGTGGTCGCTCGTTGGCACTGCTGGCCCCAGTTAATCTAGCTGGCTGTGAGAAGTGAAGGGAGGGTCGGACTGTTGCTCAGGTGTGTGTGCGAAGCGGTGAGGTGCTGCAGGAAACTCCTGGGGACAGGCAGCGCTGGAGGTGACTCCTGCAGGAGTTACGCTGCGGGTGGTGGGACTGCCTCCTTCGCTCTGGGGTGCAGTGTCTGCAGAGTGATAGTCAGGGATAGGGGAATCAGTTAGGAGATGACCCCACACCCTACCCTGCCCCACCAAGCAAACATTTTGAAAGATCCTGAAATGTTCAGCTGACACCCCCCTCATCTCCCTCCATGGGGATTTAGATCACAAAATGGCCACTATGCCTTCTGCTTTCCCCACTCCATGCTTCTGCGAGGCAGTGTATTGATGTCTGTCTGTCTACTGCATGAATAGTGCTGGGCACTGTATCTCGGCATCAGATTCATTTTCCAAGCTAACCATCACAATGTAATGTGACATGGCCTCGGGTGGTGCTGTCACAGGGACTGGGGCTTTTGCTTGGAGAAATATTTGTGGGGAGGAAGGGAGTTATTTTGTTTTGCTGGTTCCCCTTCCCTCATTGTCATTCTTCAGCTTCAGTTACTGCAGGTGGGCTTCTGTGAAAAGGGGAGGTCTGCACTGAGCACTTAACTAAAACCCAGGCTGATCTCTTCCAGTAGGTGCCAGATTGCTGGGCTGATTTTCCCACAGTCTTTGTGGAGCTGGACAGTTCCCTATAAACCTTTTACTGGCTGTATTTTAGGGGCAGCCCATCTTCCCTTCCCCCAAAACACCCTTCTAGCCTCCCTGTCAGTTAGCAGTTGAAGAGCTCTAAAGCTGCCGGGTCCCAGAGTGTACAGGGCCAGTGGAAATCCACATTCTCATGCAATCGGTCTGGTAAACCAGGATGCCTGGTACTGTGCTGACATCATTTCTGGCAGGATGGTGGAGTGCTCTCAGTCAAGAGCTCACCAGCTCCAGCTCTGCCTAGCTTGTGAAATCTGACCAGATCACAGCGCGTAGCATGGGCCTGTGACCTGGTCAGATTTCACTGGTGACCTGCAGCAAGAGGTGAGCTGATGGGTAGACTCTGAGAGGAAGGTGTTTCCTTTTACTGCAGGTGGTATGCACGAGGGTTGGTTTATTATTTGTATAATGGTAGAGCGGAGGTGCCCTAACCAAACTCAGGGCCCCATGGTGCTAGGACCTATACAAACATGGTGAGAAACAGGCCCCGCACCAAAGAGCCGACAATCTAACTAGACGAAACAAAGAGTGGGAAGGGAAATAGAAGCAAGGAGAGGTGAATTCTTTACATTCACATAGCAGGTCAGCCAGGAACAGAGCCCAGGTCTCCTGAGTCCCAACCCAGTGGCTCTAGCCACCGGGACTATACACAGATATGAACACTGGGCTCAGCTTTGAAGAGCGCCCTGCCAAGTGGAAAACATTTAAGAGGTCCAGGGCTGGGATGTTGTTGGATTATTGTGGGAGTGGGCGGATGGCTGAAAAGTGGGGTGAGGGAGAATGACACCCCAAGAGTCCAGAGGTGTCACGTTGTAGGCTGTTTAGTCCAGAGGGGTCACGCTGCAGGCTGGTTTTCAGAGGGGGAATGTCTGAGACTTAGCTAGGAAACATTAGAGGCTGGGGAATGTGGAGGTGTCTAAGCACTAGGCAGAAATGAAGGATTGCAAGAGGCCAACCCGGGGAAGCACAAGACACCCCTCCACACAAGGACCTTGCTTTTGAGGTTTAGCAGACAAAGGATTTGATGCATATTCAGGTCTGAATGTGAATTGGGCCTGGCAGGTCATCACTTCTGCCCATGTACTCACACCCATGTAGATGCAGAGCAGAGTTCTGAGCTTTAGCATCCAATTCCCTCCTCTGTGCGCTGTTAGGAGTATTGCCGATCTATCACAGCTAAGTGGAGATCCAGTCACTAACCCCCACCCCTACATGGACAGGCAAGTCCTAAAGCTGTCTGATCAGGAGGTCCAGCTGACATCCAGTTCTGCTGGGCCAGGCCCCACCCTGAAACGCCAGACAGGCAGAGAACCCTGCACTATTGAACACACTGTATGTGAGAAAGGAAACCAACTGAAGATGTGAAAGTAACGGGCTAATTCTAATGTGTTGACACCAGTATCTCACATGAGAAAGGGGGTCACCTGGAGAGAACAGAGGCTAGATGAAGTATCACTTAGGTTCATGCTGGGTCAATAGAAGAGGGTTTATGATACATTGGGGAAACAATAGCTTTTAGCACCTGGAGGGCAGTCTCCATCTTCAAAGTGTAATCCACTGGTCGTGTGAGTCACAGGTGCCCCTCTGAGCTGATCCACACAGGCTTTAGCTCAAGCTGTGTAGCAGCTCATGCTTTTCGCTCTGGAGCAGTAGCGTAGCTAGCGGAGTGCAGGGGAAGCAGCCGCTTCCCCTCAGCACATTTTCCAAAAGCGGCGCCTGCTGGGCCGGCACTGGGGGCAGCACGGCCAGAGGAGCCATGGGGGGCGGCAGGCGCGGATGGAGGAGCGAGGGGGCCAGCGCCCCACGCTCAGCGCGGCCCCAACATCGCCGCAGCAACCTCCTGCGGCGGCTCAGGGCTCGGCAGCCAAGCGCTCATCGCCCCTTGCTAATGCGACAGCAGCTTGCAGCATCTCCCGGCAGCGGCTTGCGGCCCAGTGAAATATTCCGCGGCCCCTGCATCCCATCGCGGCGGGTGCGGGGAGGCAAAAGGGCCCCTGTGCCTTTAAAGCCGCCTGGCTGGCGAGCCCCGCGTGGAGTGTACCGAGCGCCGGGAGCGGGGCGAGCTTGTGGATCCGGGCTGGCGTTTACCCTGGACAGCGGCGGGAGGGTCAGGGCCCAGCCCGGCCCGGCCCAGCAGCGCCATGGAGTGAGGCTCGGCCAGCGACTCACGAGCTGGAGCCGGGATCTGCCCGCAGCGCGGGGCCGGGATCGGCCGGGGACAGGGCTCGGTCCCCCCCAGCTGGGACGCACACACACACACATAGACTTGGGCTCACATACCCACGCGGGATCCTCCACAGCCATGCTCCTGGTTTTCTCATGTGCACAATGCTCCTGCCTGGCCCGGCGGCGCAGGATGGAAGGTGAGCGGCGGGGGTCTGGTGCCTTGCCCTGGGGGGTCTGGGCGAGGGGCTCCCC